TACAAAACATAGTTTCTGGATTTAAATAGCCTGCAAAGGGTTGATACGCCGTAAAAAACGAATTAGTCAAAGATCTACAGCGTGATTCCCTCATTACTAATGTTATGAGCAAAGTTGAGATGATGTGGGGTAGGCACCTAGTCATAATCAAGGTTACTGCCTTAGGCTTTTGGAATATTAGATTCATAACCGTTTTTACAACACAATATTCTGTAAACAATTTTCTACCATATTACATGTTGCTGTGCATATCATTTCAGAATACTATCTCTTCAGTTATTTAGTGACTGTGAGTACGTGTTTCCCTTCTGCAGATAAGAGATGATGCATGGATTTTTTATCCCATCCTTATTCAATGTCACGTTATTGTTGAATCCAGCGTGCCCCGCAAAATTGATAAATGTCCTGATGGTTGTTGTAGATATCTAACGACGTAGAGTTGCTTAGGATTTTTATGGCTAACAAACCCAATTTTACATATGAAAACCTTACCACAGAACTTGCTTATATACTCCGGCAGATATTTCTATTCTGTGGGTCGGGTTATACCCTGCTTTATGTATAAATATATATATACAATAAGATAGATAGTTTTAGATAGATAGATAGATAGATAGATAGATAGATAGATAGATAGATAGATAGGAATAGACTGAGATACCTAGCTAGCGAACTATCTATCTATCTATCTATCTATCTATCTATCTATCTATTTATCAATCTTGCTGGCTATATAGACATATATCATTTATTTAAAAATTATAACATAAGTATGTTATAATATCACTACAAAATAGCCATTTTGTTTCAACACTGCTGGTGTCTTGTCAAGTGATGGTGTTGATAGTAAAAAAAAAATCAGGCAGATGGATAGATAGATACCTGTAAATTGACTGAGATAGATAGATAAACAAACATACAGATAGACAGATAGATAGATAGATATGACTAGACTGATATATATATATATATATATATATATATATATATATATATATATATATATATATATATATATAGATAGATAGATAGATAGATAGATAGATAGATAGATAGATAGATAGATAGATAGATATTGAGAGATAGAGAGATAGATATGAATAGCTTCAAATAGAGAGAAGTGACAAAATAAGCTCGTTAAATAGATATGAACAGAATGAGATAGATAGATATAGCAGACTGATATATATATATATATATATATATATATATATTTATATGTAAATTGTAGGCTTGTTATCATTAAATCTCTGTCGCGCGCATTGCATTTCTCTCCATTTACTTGAAAAATAAAGAAAAGTAACTGACTACATTCAAGTGAATTAAAAGTTATTTAAACGGAAATTGAATTGATAATTATTTCACATCTGGTACTTGAAGAATTTAATGGAATGACATGTCATTTCTAAAGACATATTCGTAACACTGGTGTCATCTGAAATTAAAAATGGCGTATATCAATTTCTCCACCCTTATTTTTTAACACAACGTTTCTCCAAATAAATTTAATCGGGAGGTTGCCCTTTTTACCAAAATGCCAATCAGTAAAAGAATTGGTCTTTAATTGAACAATCTATGGTGGCCATAACATGTAATTTGATGATTTCCCGTTATAAAAAAACACAGTATTTGCCACATTTAATAACGTTATTTTGTATTCGTATAAAATGTTGAAGGAGTAATTTACAATATCTTTTTTTTTCTATTTCTTATTAACTATAACGCGTTATCTGCATGAAAAAATCCATTCGATGTACATAGGAATGTATTAGAAAAAAACTTCTTAAAATGCAAATATATTGCAAATATGTAAGCATTTATATTGTGAGATGAAATAACTTCATCAATATAATAAATGCGAATGTCACTGTGTCACGCGTTTTCAATTTAAAGGGACACAACTATCTAACTTTCAATAGCTCATCTCAAATAAAAAAAATTACTCATCCAAAGTAAAATTTGACGTGTTTTCAACTTAGGTCCTCGAGGCCGTAGCCCAATATATCATACAATCAGGCTGACCCCCGCGAGCAAATCAAAAACATTGCAGGACGAGGATCCGGACACGCAATCCTGAAATTCCAATATTTTGTTGTCGGCGATTTTTTACGTGATATTTAGCGAATATATATATATATATATATATATATATATATATATATTTTAATTGCGAAATTGAGCGAAAGTCACACATTAAATAAAAATAATTGTTTTTACGGAAAGCAAGGAACTATGTATATCAAATTGTCTTTAAATTAATTGCCGGCTGAATGAAGTGATCAGTTTTGACTTCTTCTGTAGTTTATTGTTGTTACCTGTCGCATCTACCCTTCCCTCGTATTGTGATGAAAGCCTAATGAACAACCCTCCACAAGACCTACTTTAAATGCCGCCCGATGCGGGCTTTAATCTAGTAATTAATATTTGGTTCGTCTTTTTCACCTGATTTCTACCTATTACTGATACAAATTGAAATTGACAAAAGTTTCTCACACAGATGAAACGTTGCGAGGTTCTCGCTGTTTTATCGCTATTTCCATGGCATTTGTTCTCCCATCAGCCCTGGCATTTGCAGCTGGCACCTGCCATGACACCTAAAGAAGGGTCAATCATTCCCTATTCCATCTGTGTTTCACTAGTAAGAATTAAGTTCCATTCGAATAGGTTATTCCCAAGAACTGCTGCTTTGTAGAACAGACTCAAGAAAGGATGTTTTTCCCAATCAGGATAATCTTCCCCTCTTTTAAGTCTACGGTTAGTCGTTATCTTTCTGGCATTATCTTTCCTACATTGCCATAAACTTCACTTCTTGACTTTTCTTACGCTCATAAAAAACAATACAGTGGCAATCTACCATGACTGGCTCTTAGGCCTTCTACTGAATGATCATTAGTAAAAAGAAAGAAAAAGTTGAAGTTTTTAGATATAATGAGGCAAGAAATTCTGTAAAATCTAAAACAGCTAGGCACCATTTTATGAATGGAATGTAGAACATAGCGAGTGTGGGATGTTAAAGTTACATAGAGCAACAATATAGAAGAAATCGTGGAGAGACATTATCGCCCAAATCCTGAGGAAACCTGGCTCGTATAGAAGACATTTGGGCTACTACCACACAAAAAAGAGAATGTCTCATTTCAAGAATTTTTAACATAGGAAAACATAAGAAAAAATTATTTTTAATAATATGTAGAAATCTCCACGTTTTGCCTGATGAAGGTCGCGAGACCGGAAACCCGTGTAACAAATTTATGGAAAATAAAGTATAATATATTTTTTTAAAAATCCACATTACAACCAAAAACGTTTACGGTTTTTCTCTTCTTTTTATATATATATTTGTGTATTTAGGCAGCAATCCTTCTTTTATGCACGTTTCATTGAAAACGGCAGACAAGTTGCTTTTATTTAGTTTTTTATACAATTTCTTAAGCGATCTAATCATTTTTTTTCTTTTCAGATGATTTATCATGATTTATCATCCGAAAAATCGCATAAGAAATTGTATAATCTATATAAAAGCACCTTGTCTGTCGTTTTCAATGAAATGCGTATATATATATATATATATATATATATATATATATATATATATATATTTACCCCTCCATCTGTATATGAGTCCCAGAGATTCTACCTGACTCTTCAGGATTCTTTAAGTCTTTCTCTTTTTTTACTTGCTCTGTCCATTCATCCTTCTATATAAACCTCTCCCTATTGCTTCCAGTTTCCTCTGTATATATCCAGCTTTCACTGCCATACAACAGGCTTGAAAACAAATTATGAATTAAGCATTTTTTCTTTGTTTCAAATACAAATTTCTGTATTATATTGCACTTTGTTCAACCGTTTGAATGCAGTTTTGATAATATAGTAAGCGTTCAGGTTTAGGTGTGTCATTTTACATCGTTTGTTAAGATCTACTATTTCCGCTAAGCTTTCAGTACATAGGCGATTATGGCTATTCATAATTTCCTCTCCTTTGAATCTCTTAATAAAATTTGTTTCATTGGTATTCTTTCCTAAACTTTATTCCGCCATTTATTTCACTTAGTAATTTTTTTCTTTAATCTGTCCTGAGTATTCAATTTTCTAAACACCATTTCCTTCTAATTGGCCCGATAAATTCCAACTCTCTCTTCCTGATACTGTGTATAAGTATACTTTTTGCTTATATTTTCTCTAAAACTCCATCGCTTCTCACATTTTCAGTCTATGGTATCCTCAGCATCCTTCTGCACAACCAGATTTCTATTACTCCAAGTCACTTCTTCATATGTGAATAGATTGTCCAGCACTTACTACCATAGGACGATTGATAATACATAATATTTCAATCCTTTTTTTTTCTGTCTCTTAATACATTCGCTCTCCCAATGTGTCTTCAGATTTCATTGTTTCACTTTCCATTCTCTGTTAAAAAGCTTTCTAGATATTTAAATTTCCGAACTTGATTGATTTTATCTCCAATTTCTACTTTGTGTGTTGGGCTCTTCATTTTGCTAACAATCAGTTACGATACTTTATGTAAAATTATAAAAATAAATTCTGTTGAAGTAAGTAAATCCAAAATGAAGTGTTTTACGTTTGCTTCTTATTTTGTAAGCATCGTAGATTTAGAATAAGAATGAAATTTGTTCGACATATGTGAATTCTAAAATGAAGTATTTTGCATTCGTCTTCGTCTTATCTCCGGATTTTTTAATGAAAGGATCAACAGTTAATGTGACTTGGTAAAAATAGAATGAAAAAGCAATTTTAACTGAATTATATAATGAATTATTTAGCATTCATTTAACTTATTGTTGATTTTTATATTTTTCTTTCCGGTTTCTTGAACGAATCATGAGCAATAGTTCAAATAATTTGCGTAAAATCAGAATAAAAAAATATCTACTAGTGACTTATTTCGACCCAAATATTATTATTTAATATTGTTTTTTTTTTGTTTTTTTGGTTTTTTTTTTTCGGTCCATGTCTCAGGTTCATTTTTTCGATCCATGTTCATTTTTTTTCGATCCATGTCTCGGGTTCATTTTTTTTCGATCCATGTCTCGGTTCATTTTTTTTTTCGGTCCATGTCTCAGGTTCATTTTTTTTCGATCCATGTCGGTTCATTTTTTTTTCGGTCTCAGGTTCATTTTTTTTTTTTCGGTTCATTTTTTGTCGGTCCAGGTTCGTTTTTTTTTTTTCGGTCCATTTTTTTGTCTGGGTTCATTTTTTTTCGATCCATGTCTCAGGTTCATTTTTTTTCGATCCATGTCTCGGGTTCATTTTTTTTTTTCGGTTCATGTCTCGGGTTCATTTTTTTTTCGGTCCATGTATCGGGTTCATTTTTTTTTCGGTCCATGTCTCGGGTTCATTTTTTTTTCGGTCCATGTCTCGGGTTCATTTTTTTTTCGATCCATGTCTCGGGTTCATTTTTTTCGATCCATGTCTCGTCGGGTTCATTTTTTTTTTCGGTCCATGTCTCGGGATCATTTTTTTTCGGTTCATGTCTCGGGTTCATTTTTTTCGATCCATGTCTCGGGTTCATTTTTTTCGATCCATGTCTCGGGTTCATTTTTTTTTTTCGGTCCATGTCTCGGGTTCATTTTTTTTTCGGTTCATGTCTCGGGTTCATTTTTTTTTCGATCCATGTCTCGGGTTCATTTTTTTTTCGATCCATGTCTCGGGTTCATTTTTTTTTTTCGGTCCATGTCTCGGGTTCATTTTTTTTCGGTTCATGTCTCAGGTTCATTTTTTTCGGTCCATGTATCGGGTTCATTTTTTTTCGGTCCATGTCTCGGGTTCATTTTTTTTTCGGTTCATGTCTCGGGTTCATTTTTTTTCGGTCCATGTATCGGGTTCATTTTTTTTTCGGTCCATGTCTCGGGTTCATTTTTTTTTCGGTTCATGTCTCGGGTTCATTTTTCCTTACGGTTCAAGTTTGTAGCGTAAAATCGAAATAAAAAATAATTTTCGGTGTTTTGTTAGAATTCTAAAATGAAATATTTTCTCTTTGTCCGAATAGGAAAGCTTATCAGAAGACAAACACCTGAAGAAGACAAATAAATACAACAGTCGAAATATTGCCAGTATAATAAAGAAACCAATCATGCTTTTTCGAACAGCAAAACATATACGACAGAGAGCTGATGATGTTTCGAGAGTATAACGGTCGAATTTTGTGATTTTTTTTTCTTACGAAATATTTCCTAATACAATCCACTTGCCAAAACGAGTATTCTGATATATTGTCAGTGAAATTATCCGCTATTTGAACCAATAGTGTTGATTATTTTTAATCGGTATCGCCCCAAGCAAGGCAGTACACACGCTAAGACCCAAGGGGTTACCCGGATGTCGAGGAATTAGAAACAGAAACGTTAATAATGAACGGGAACAAAAAGAGTAATAGGAAGATATTGTCATTGCATTTAAAATTTTGCAGATTAGAGTTGGTTGGAAAGCATGGGTTAGGAAGGGAGTTCCACGAGTTAGAAGTGCGGGATAAGAATCTCTTAACACAGAATTTACAGATACATCTAGCTAGCTAAACCGTAAATATATGAGATCTCGACACCAGTCTAGTATTTGCGGTTATATTCAGACACACTAGGTACAATAGCGAAAAGCGCAGCTGAACAATTACCATGAAAGTATTTATTTTAAAAAAAGCCACAAAGAGGCAACCTTACGCCGGTGGGAAAGTGACTGAAGCCAAACCGCCAGATCAGGTCCAATAATATTTTTCTGATTCTTCTTTGGATCTTACCAAGGAGATCCTGGAAATAGCACGGGCACTGGAGGATATACGGCAGCAATATTCTAAGCGTGAACAAATGGTAGACTTATAGATATGCAAGATATATTCAGGAGAGAAGAATGGTCTCAGACAACACAATAAAGCTGCTTTCTTAGCAGCTGACCAAGAAATGGATTCAATATTGTCTTTCCACTTCATTTCAGCTAGGAACGTTAGCCTGAGAAGGCACGACGAGTCACTTTCTTGGAGGATAGCATTAGCCATGCTGATGGAAGGCAGGGAGGTGTCTCTCAGATGATTAACCGAGACAAGTTTAGTTTTGGAGGCGTTAAAATGACAAGCAAGCTTTTGCCCCAGTTAACGACGATTTTGTGGTCGTTTTGTACATTATCTGCCATTTTGAATTTGTCGGACTGATCAGATTGAGGTTAGGAGTGAATGGTAGTGTCGTCAGCGTAAATGCCAGTTTGAGAACTGATTTCATCGGGAAGGTCGTTAATGAAGGTTAAAAACAGCGTAGGTCTGAGAATGGAACCTTGGCGGACACCCGCGATGGTACGACAGCATCTAGACTAGTAGCTGTTCAGGATAACTTTCATTTCACGATTTGATATGAACGCGACTGGATCAGCTCAAAAATATGCCCGGAAATACTGTAACTTTTCAGCTTGTGTAGAAGATCCGTATACCAGACCAAGTGAAAGGCTTTCGAGATGTCCAATGCTACAACTGAGGTTTCGCCGTTTTTATCTAAAGTATGATAGACATTTTCCGTAATTATCGTTAGCATACCAGCAGTTGACCTAGAAAAACGAAATCCGTATTGCTTGTTGGAGAAAATCCCTGGGATGAGAGATGATGAACCAATTCAGCATTGATTAGCCTATTGAAGTTTCCCCAAAAGAGGTAGAAGGTCAATAGCCGGACGGTTCCCCAGAGTTCTTAAAAATTGGAACAACAGACGATTACTTCCAGCAGCCAGTAAAGCAGACGGTAGTGAGGCATTTATTATAGAGCTTAGAGAGAACAGAAGCCAGTTCGGGAGCACACTTCTTAATGACTATTACGGGGATACCATCCAGTCCACGTGCTTTATTGGGATCAAGATTAAAGATGATAGCAGAAATCATAGAAAGAGTTATATGCATATCCCTCAATAGAGAACCAGTACTAAATGGGGAATTGTTTAAATAGCAAAGCAAATAAGAAAAACACCCGAAGAAGGTCCAAGTTAAGAACGGTCGAACATCATGAGTATATTAACCACGATTATTATTACTGGTCTGAATAGCAAAACATACAAGAGATAAACACGTGAAAAGGTCAAAATGCACAGCGGCTGAAGCGGTGCGAGTATAATAACCAAAATGATTGCACTGATCTGATATAGTAAAGAATATAATAAAACAGCCACCTGATGAACATCGGAGGCTGCAAAAGTCGAAAGTTTGAGAGTATAATGATCAAGATCTTCGAACTGGTCGAATTATGTCATATACATAATCTAAATTCACATACACGCGCACACACACACACACACACACACACACACACACACATATATATATATATATATATATATATATATATATATATATATATATATATATATATGGGTATATGTATGTATGTATGTATATATATACCCCGTTTATTTTTAATACCAGATATAATTTTTCAAATAAAAAAAAATGTAATATATAACTGTGCCAACATTGCGATAACCAGTTATTTTTTTGGAAATTTAAATTGCGCAACGGTCAGTCTATAATCAACACTGAAGATTGTGCATAAAACTCCTATTCGTGCTAACGGTGAAGGATAATATGTATATTTATTAATAGGTACTTAATAGTTGTATAACATGAAGAACTGTTTTATTAGCAACCGCTCTATATTGGTCTCCTGTTTATTATCTGTCTATTTCTTCTTTTTAGTGTTGGCTGTGAAAGCTTTCTGATAGTTGGTCGAACTATGGCTTTATTTGCCTGGTGATATTTATTATCTGTCTATTATTAGAGATACTGAAATTTTGGCCTTCTTGTTATTTATTTCTTTTTATTTATTTCTCTATCGTCAACAGTTAAATCGTAAATACATATACGAAAATTTATATATAAAAAGAAATTGAAAGTTATATGCAAAATTATGCACATAAATACACACATATATACGTGCAAACATACATACATACAGAAAACATATATATTAAATAGAACGAGTGAAGCATATCCGTTAGCCATTTTCTTAATTTTTCGTGTTGTCAAATAAGTCGTGGTTTTCAACAATAGTGAATACTCCCCCCAAAAGGTTTAAAAAAAAATTATACGAGCCTTTTATTAAATAAAACACAACGTTATTATCAAAAACATTTCCAGCCATAGGCCCCTTCGATTTTATTCAGGTGCTTCTCTGTCGACGTACAGATTATGGATATTCGAAGTGATCCATTTATTTAATGCAGAGCATTAGCTTAATTCGCACCACTTATCTTGTCTCAGGATCATTTGTCAAGTTCTTATACATTACTCCATTTATTTCACCCTTTAAAGTGGGTACTATTAAGCACTACCCATGCTAGGGTTTGAACCCAAAATTGTAGCCTTAAACATAATCTTGATACTGCTCCTCCTTCTTGGACTTTTCCCTATCTGACTGCAGAAACTGATGTTATGTTTGAAGCGTTGTTACTCTAAGTGATCATTTCTTGTTGGTATGTGTCTGGATCAACACTTAATATTTTCAGGCAATGTGCGATGCCTTCGACAATCCTTTTAATTAACTGTATGCGTGGTGGGAAGCGAAGTTAAAATATTTTTCGGTGAGTGTTTGTTTGGGATATACGGATATCTTGTACGCATCCTCTGTTCCGATGCTAATCATTTCTTGTTGGTATGTGTCTGGTTTGCTATATTGTTTTCGACGGTTTTGTAGCCACCAGACTATCCATTTCTTTACACTTTCTGACTAGTTGAGATATTGTATGTCGATGGTTGGCTTTTGATATATGGATTTATATTCTGCCGGTTATTATTATATCTACGAAAGCCGGTTGGCTGTTGTTTTCTTCTTCCATTCTGAACTAAATCGATGGCCTTACTGAGCTACCTTGTTCCAGCAGCATTTTTACAGCTTTCTGATAGTAGCCTGCTAATAAAATATCATCTTCTGTAAGCAGGAGTAGAATGATCAAGAAGGAGAACCAGAAAACTGACATGCTTTGTATCTCTTACAGGAAAAATGTTTATACGAAAAAGAATCAGAGGATTTGCTGTCGATTCAACATCCGGACAATATTCAGAATGAGCTCCACCCGACGGAAAGGTCTCTGCAAATCTAAACCACACACAATGGACCAAATGGATTCTAAATACAGGTATTCCGTCGCTTAGAGCTGATCAATTTAATGAAAAGAGGAAAATAGATGTCCTCTAAATGTAAAGCTGGACAAAAATCAAAAAGCCGTAATTACGTGCTAAACAATGAAAACAGGTATGGCTTTTCATGTACAGATGTAAAAGTGTAGCCATCAAATTTTTTGGAATTAAATATTAGATGGAAAATAATACTGGAAAACCAGACGTCTGGAAGAATCAACGCATATACTAGTCTATGGGGACGTCTTTAGTGTTCCTTGAATAGAAGTGAATACAATACGGTAATTAATAAAGAGAATGCAAGTCTTGTAAAGCAGCAGCAATTGCAATAAGAAAGAGAAGTCTCGCTCAGGACAGTCAAACAGCATCAGCTACATAATCAATAGAGTGATTAATTCTCCACTCGGGATTGTCCTACGGGCTAGTAGATATTGGTGACATACCGAGGTGAGCTGGCGACAAATTATTCCGAGATATTGTCAGAGGAACGAGAACAATCTAATACTGTAGATTATATAAAGATTAAATTTATAAATTCGCTGAAGGGACACGGATCGACAAGCAACCGGTAACAGACGGGAAGGATATCATCCATAATGCGGTGGTGGTAAAAAAAAAAGTCCGCTGTTACAGGGTGCGATGGATAAATTGTCGTCTAAATGGCGCTAAAATGAAACTAACACTGACATTTCCTTTTAACGGATATATTTACCAAAATTACACAAAAATATTTTGAACCATTAAAGACTAAATTTATTCAATGGATTCAACCACAGCCGCAAAACGACTTCGGAATCTCTTGCAACTCTTTTGGACGATCTCAATC